GCTGGGCCGCCGGCGCCCGGAGCCGCCTGGTGGCGGGGTCAGTGCCCACCTCGGGCTGGGTGAGGGGTGGGGGTGGGGGCCGACGAGCTGAACTTGCTGAGCTCGGGCTCTCCCTGGAGGGTGGAAGAACGTCTCCGCCGTCCTACCTCTAGCCTTTTACAGGCCAGAGGATGTGAAAAAGTTAAGCGCTATCCAGATGCAAAGTGCAGGGCGTAATCCAGGCTCTTCCTCCCAGCCTTACTCTCTCCCTTTCTTTCCAACCAGGATGTCTCAGCCAAGCCGGGAGCACAGCCCCAGCCGGCTGTCTCCGCCCGAGCCGGCTTTCCAAAGGGTGCTGGCGATGGAGCTGGGGAGCACTGACCATCCCGAGGCGGGCACCCAGACTTCTGTCCCTCTCCGGGGCTGGCGGTTGGACTCTGAAAAAGGCCCATCATTAAAAGGGTCAGGCTTCCCTGGCGGTGGCTGCTGGTACTTGGCTCGCAGCCTGGGGTGGCAGAGCTCTGCTAGCAGCTCGGTTCACTCCCACTTCGTCCTGGCTGAAAGCGGTTTTGTGCTTTGAAAGGTCGCCAACAACAGCCAAGTGTGATTACCTGACTTTGGGCAGGCCAGCAGTGCTCACGTTATCTGGTCTGCTTTGGGGGACTCGGTGGTGTTACATGTCAATTTCATGCTTTGGGGGCTCCTAGCCCCACAAAACACCTTCAGCAGAGCCTTTATTAAAGGAAACCTGCAGACAGACTCTTGGTAGCCGATTTTTTTCCTTCCTACCCTCTCTTCCAAGACTGGGGCGGGGAAATGGCTGAAAACTGCCAACCTTGGGCTGGGCTGGGAAGGAATGCCACAGATGCGACCAGATTTAAATAAGCATTTAATTACGATCTCATTAGTATTTAATATTGCTTTTTTTCAATTCCAAAAAGTTAAATTTTCACTTCTTAGCAGATATTTTAAAGTACAATATTAAGTTTATACAAAAGGAGCAATTAAGCAAACACCATTATTTCACATTCTTCAAAAATACAAATTCATATTGACTCTTTTGGGGTGGGGAAGGGTTGAAGGTTTCTTCCTTTGGAAGTACTGAACCTGGAACGTTTTCATATCGCTCAGTCTAAGTCTCTTGTTCCCATGTTTCACACTTAAATTAATTTGATAAGCTATTATGTAATCCAAATGAACATAGTTGGGATTTAAAAAACTGTAACCATGACCATTGGCCAAGGGGCTAGTGTGCGTCCCAAAAGAAGGCTCTTGCCTTTCCTGGCCAGAAGACCTGCCAGTCTCTCTCATTTAGCCAGCTTCCCCAAACAGGGGCAAATAAGTTCAAAGGGAAAGGAGCCATCTTGGAGCCCCCACAGGCTCAAACACAACAAAGGATGAGGACTCTTGAGCCAACCAGAACCTTCCACTGAGGCCTGAGAACACAGAAGGGCGTGAGCAGCCTCTGGCTTGGCACCACTAAAGGATACTGCAAAATACACCCCTGGGTTTTGGTGGAAAAAGGTTTTATGAAAAATTGTTTTCCCATAAGAAAAAGAGTAGAAACTGCATTGAGCTGAGAAAGTGACACAACGTTATCACCCGGTTTTTGGCCCAGCAGGCACACTGCCAAAGGGGCAGTGTGGTGTTTTAAATCACGCTTCCAGTAGAAAAGCTTGTACTATGTACATGTTAACACAAAGATCCAGTTTAATTTGCATTTTCAGTGCAAGACTGAGAAGCCCTCTCTCAAACAGAAGAAGAAAATGCCCAGACTGATCTATCGACTTCCCCAAAGGGATGAGAACACAGGACCCCATCCTTCTAGGGCCCCCCCCCATGCCCCTGCAAAAAACACGCCAAGAGGAAGCAGGCTACAGGACCAATCAGAAATATGGATGATGCCATTGTGCTGCCTCCCCTGCTCAATTATTCAAGAATGGAAATTTTCCTATCTGTTACAACAGACCTATTTGCATAATATTGGCTGAAATGTATTTTTAAACTTCTCTGTATTAGCCCGAGAATGGAAGATAAAATGGGGGGAGGCAAGGGAGGGGGTGGGCAAGAAGGGAGAAAGGTGAAAAACGGATTACTAACAGCTTTTGTTTTCTGGATTTAATGAAGGTTGGAGGCTTTTTGCTGAAGGAGCCACAGGCAGTTTGGGAACAGTCATGGAAATAGCTCCTGATGCACCCCCCCCACCCCCGCCGCCCCCCCAACCAAACAAACATATTTCTGATTGGTGGTGTAGAAAAATTGTAAACTCTTCAGCAATATGGTTGCAGTTGCAGAAATGAATGGTTCCAGACACTCTGGAGCTGTCTCTAAGAATAAGGACACTGGACAGAGCAGGTAGAAAAAAAGTCTAGAAGGTGCCAGGCTTCTGCCTGGGAACAAGCAGCTCCTCCCTTCAGGCGACACTTGGTTATGGTGAAGCAGGGAAAGCTGGCATGGAACCAGAAGACCCGCTCGCTGAGAAGGGCCTCTCCAGTCAGCAGAAGGAAACAGGAGTTCTTCAGAGAGCCTGTGGGGCCCAGGGGCACGCTTGCATAGATTGAGCAGTTTCAGAGAATGCATAATATGATAGTGTTTCCCTATAGACCGCCTCAGAGTACAGGGTAGATCACGAGTTCAAACGGTGGCCAGGTCAGGGCCACATGGGACAACAACCGTCAAACTACACATATTGCACCAGGTAAGTGCTTTTCTTTTCATGCCTCAATTTTACTTTTTATTCTGAGTAAAAAATAAAACTTTGTGGAAAGTATATATATATATATAGATAGATAGATGTATGTATATATACATAAAAGAAATTGCAGCAATTGGGTTAAAGATAAAATAACCTAAAGTGCTTTTTTATTATTTCTTAATATACCAACATGAGGTTCTGCAAACTCGTCTCTCTGGACACATTCAGCATTACACAAAGTCTCTCAGGAAAACCCACCCAGCCCCTGCCATGATCCCCCCCTCAATCCACTGCCTGGACTCTCCCATCAACTGAGCCTCTTGCCTTACACCCAGAGAGCTCTTCACACCTTAAGGTGCATCTTGGCCTTTGTACCATCATCTCCTTCCCAAAGTGGAGTGGGAATGGAATTCAGTAAATGACCCCAACTCCTATCGCTAAACTAGAGATGCCCCCATGAGATGGGTGGTGAAGAAGGAAGATCCTGTCAGGAGAGGCCAGGCCACTTTCCCCCAACGCCCCACTTCCTCACCGCCTGGGGAGGGGTGTTCACTAAGGCAGCTGGGCAGTGCCAATCAGTCCACTAACACTTCCTAAGCCTTCGAATTCCAACCCCTGGTGTTGACCAATGCCCTTGAAATAGGCCGTCTACCTGGAGGTACCAGAAACAGACACTGACCAGGTGGAAGTGGTCAAGGTTACTGGGGAAAGAAAGGTGGCTCTGCCTCTGCGCTGTTGGCTGCATTCAGGAACCCACCTTCTCTTTCTAGCACCAGCTTAGCCAGGGGCTCTCTCCTTGGCCCACCCCAAGGACCAGCTTGCAGAAGGAGGGAAGCCTACCCCTCACAACCACTCATGGGTAGTTTAAGCACATTTCCTGATTTTTTCAAAAGCTAATGGGATCTGATAGAGCCATCTTCAAAAGGCAGATACTTCCTTTTCTCAACTAGAATAAACACTGTTTCACCATGTTTCCTTATCACCCTCCATCTTTGAAGAGCCAAAAGCCACTGATCTGGGCAGGGCCCAACGTGAGCATTGGAGGCAATATTGAAACAACTGGCAGCTTTGATCGCCTTGTCTGGGCTCCTGCCCACCTCAGCTACCAGGGAACCAGAACCACAGGTGGCCACCAGCTGTTCTGTGGAGGTCACTACAGCCCTTCTTACAGCTGACTTAGGGATCCCACCCCTGCACAGCAGCTGTAGCGAAAACAGCAAAGGTCCTGCCTCAAGTCACTGTTAACAAGGTAAGATTCCTCCTGCCTTCCTAGCTCCCACTGAGGTCACCAGACTCCACCAGCCTTTACAGGAGGGGAGTGCAGAAGGTCCAAAAGAAACCGCTTCTCCTGACTGGACTGCTGGCATGAGAAACCAGGTGTGAAGGCCCAGCCCATTTCTCCTTGCAGCAGTAACCTTCCTACCCCGGCCCTCTGCTCCAGGCCCATCCTTGAACATGCTGGTTAAAGACAGGGCCTATGGCTCCAAGGTCGGCGAGCTGCTCTGAGTACCGCCTCGACAGTCCCTGAGTAATGGCTCAGGCTAGGAGGGGAGCCAGACTGATGTCTTCCCAATAGAGAGTGGGAAAGGCCAGCAAAGTGAGGCTTGCTCTCTGCGGGAGAGAGCACCCGCCTCTGGAAAGCGATCTTGGTGGTCGCTCTCAGGAGGCGGGTTCTTGTGGACACCCTCACAACACTAAAGCCTTCCGTTTGAGCGATGAGTGCATTTACATTTTAAGAGGCAATGACCTGAAGCCAAAGGCAGACAGATGGGGAGAATTCTACACAGAAGTCAGGGGAAAAACCCAAACACAACCCAATAAAACATTCCAAATGAGAGAACTTATTGCAACACTTCAGGCTTTTTGGTGGACGGGGAATTTTTTTGTTTTACCCTGAGTAGAAGATCATCGTTTTTGGGGGGGTGGGGGTGGGGTTGTTTGCTTGTTTTTGTTTAGAAGCTGTAGGCCTAAGCGGAGCAAGCCACGTCCATGTTTGTTCTGTGGCAGGCTGCATGCAAACTCCACACAGGTGAGGGCTGGGGCTGGGAGGGGTCATCACAAACCTAGAGAGAAACTGGATCCCGACACTCGGCCCGCCAGTACCACCTTTCATAAACTCCCTTAAATCAGCACACAGTCCTCTGAGGAAGCAAATGCAGCTCAAGAGAGGGCAAGTCACTAACCAGGCCTGGCCCAGCCCCCCATGTCCACACCAGGACAAAATCGGGATGTCGTCCCAAAGAAAACTCACTGGACGCGGCAAGCCCTGGCAGCTGAGAGAGCAAAAACCAAGAAGGCCAAGACTGTAAGCGGAGGGAGAGCACACAGCCCGGGACAGAGAGCAGTCTCCCAACTGGCCTGGGGTCCCTGCCAGAGTCCACGGGCTAGACTTCCAGGGCCTAATGTGCTGCGGCTGGCTGCGGGGTGAGCCCTGCACTATCCACCCTGACTCCACAGATGCCAACCACAAACTACAAAGACACCTCACCCAGTTCCTGTCCCACTCACAACTGACTGGCCTGCCCTCTCTGCCGGAGGGAGGGCCTGGTCTTCCAGCGAGCCACAGATTCCAAAGACACGCAGGAGGAGCAACAGCCAGCACACTGATCTCAGCCGACCACACCACAAGGCCCGAGTGCAAGCAATGGGCAAGATCAGATTGACGGAAGCCACAGCCTTTCATTTAGAATTTTTATGCGTACGGGTAACCTTAATTTCCATGTTCACATGACAAGAAGCAAAAGTGACATACAGTGCAGCCAAAGAGTTCATTATAACTTAGCTTGTTTTGTTTCCCCATAGATCAGTTCCTTAGGTGGATCCTCCTGGGATGTGAATAACGAAAACACGTCTGAATTTCAAGCGGTAGGTTTCTTCATTCTTCACATCGCTGACCCCACGATGGCAGGCGGCGTACCCGTGCCTCCTGCTCGCCTTCTGCCCGCCCCGGTGAGCACACCCAGGCCCTTCACTTGGAGAAGCTGCTGCTCAGACCCATCTCCTCCTCCCCCTGCAGTAGTGCTTCAATGGGGATCAGGTTGGACGGGGTGCTCAGGCTCTGGAGGGACAGAAACTCTGACATATCCATGGCACTTAGCGGATCCGTTTGCGGGCCTGAACCGGTCTCTGCTTGTCTGTTTTGTTCATGGGAAGAGGGTACAGTGGAGGATGACGGGAGGGAGGCCGGGGGGGCGGGGAAAGTCTGTGGGGGGAGCTGCAGGCTGGGCACCTCAAGAGGCTGGGCGCAGGGCTCGGGCAGGGGGGGCGACGCACAGCCCTTCCTCCTGCTGGAAATCCGCTCCTTGGCAGAGTCCCGGCACGCACACTGACACTGACAGGCCTCCTCTTGTTTGATGATGATCACGGGAACACTCAGGCCAATCTGTTGTACTGAGCTCCCTGTGAAAGAGGCGAGAGAGACTGCTCTTCAAGCAGCTGCAGGGCAGGGGCAGGAGGGACAGGGCAGAGAGCAGACACTTGGGAGGGCTAAGTGCGCACCAGGCGTTGTTCTGCTATGAATCAGCCTGACACAACCTGAGATGCACCTGTCTCTACCTTCCTTTCCTATCTTCTCCCCCCAACCAGCTGCCACCTCCCCACTCCTGATGCAGGCCTCATCCCTCTACAAACACCTGGAGCCTGCTGCTGTCCTGGAAAAGCCACTCTCAGCTGGGGGGACCCTTGATGCTGCACAGGACTTGTTCAGGGCTGCCCGCCCCAGACACATGGGTGGTTGGCTTAGCTTCCTGGCACCGGTGGCTGGCACACTACCAAAAACATAAAAGCCTAAATGAACCGAAGCCCACCACCAGGCCTCCAGGTATACTGCTGGCTGGGTGTGAGCCGCCGGTGCTTAGGGTAGGACACTCACAGGGCCCCGGGGGTGCCCAGGGGCTCTTGGACACATGGTGGGTGTCAGCACATCTCCTTTCGCCTAGCCAACCTCCCGTGCGTACATGTGTGCGTGCGCGCGCGCGCATCCTCTCCTCTGTGTGAGCCTGTGTGTTGTGTAAGGGTGCACTCTGAAACCAGCCAGCTGCCGGGTCTCCCCAGGATTCCAGGCGCTGCCAGACAGGGAAGGGGTGAGAGTGAGGAGGTCCGAGAACTGGCACTTGGGCACAGCCACAAGTGGAAACTGGGGGAGTCATTTAATCTCTCCAGGCCTCAGTTTCTTAACAGGTAAAGAGAAAGAGTTTGTCTAGAAGGACCACTCGACCCCACGCTCAGTCATGGGGCTAGCTGTCATTTCTTCAGCACTGCAATGAGAAAAGAGGCCAGTGAATTAAACACTGCCCTCTTCGGCGCTCACTATGACCCACATGGGGCTGCTGGCTGCTTTGGAAAGGCCTGTATGTGGAAGGGAAAGATCCGCTGGCCTTGGTATTTGTCAGTGCCCTAGCTTGCGGTAGTTGTGATCCTGTGAGACACTCTAAGGAGTACACAAAGGGATGTGGCTTCATGAAAATGGGCTTACGACTGGAGAGACGCGATGCTGAATGCAGGCCCTGTGGTCCCGGTCACTTACCTATGCTACTGGCTACTGGTACTGCAGTGGTGAAAAACACCTTCTCAACTTTAGGTGCTTGCTGCTGGGGGAGAAAAACAAAACATGTACACAAAACATGTATGGCCCCTCAACTATAACAGATCCCCAAGCCCTGAATGAAGCAGAGGGGCCCAGTAGGGCAGAAAACCTCGGCGCGGAGGGAGGTTTGCACTGAATGCTGTCTTGTTCGAGCTCTGACATGAGGTCACTGCTGACAGTGGGGCCAGCTCTGTACTCGACTGCTTGGCAGTCTCCCCACGGCCTGTCCCAGTCGCTCTGTGCCCCTAGAAGCTCGTCCAAAATGGCTTTTCCTCAGCAATGTCTTCTAAGAGAGAGCCCAGGGTCAGCTTCCCCTCCAGCCTTGCCACGGCCCCCCACCAATACTCCTAGCGGGGTGGGGCCTGAAGCCTTCTAGATTGCCCTCGGAATCCCCCTGCAGGCTTTTGGGAGGGTTAAATGAGGCTATGTCTGAGGAGCACTGGGCTCATGGAGAACATTCTATAAACATTCAATACACACCTGCAGTCTTGGAAACCAGGCCTCCCCAATCCTGCCCACAGTCCCCGTGAGCGTGTCAGCGCACTGCCCACGGTCCCCGTGAGCGTGTCAGCGCACTGTCCACGGTCCCGTGAGCGTGTCAGCGCACTGCCCAGTAAAATGGCTACTATCTCAAAGGCGCTTTTCTTTTGACCCCTTTGAGGAACGGAAAGCGCAAAGGAGGCGGCTCTTGGGCGGATCTGAGAGAGGGGGAGCCTGGCCAGGCTGCACTCTCTGGAGGAGAGAAGTCGGGAGCACTCTCAACTACAGCAACAGGCATCTTGCGTGTGCCAGGCCGCTCCCCCAGCAGATAGGGAAGTGACTGAGAAGAGGGCGTGAGGCCGACTGGGTCACAACACCGGGAAGACCTTGCCATGGCTCTGGTCCTCCGAGAAGGGAAGTCCACTGTTCCCCCAGGAGCGGTATTCCGTATCTGGAACACAAGCCCTCTCACTCTTTTGCTCTAACCCACCTTTCCAGTTTGCCTCATGTTGTCTCACACCGCCTACACAGCCTCCTGCCAAGTACATCCTGTTTACATCTAACTCCTCCTCGTGCCTCAAGGTCCCCTCCCTAGGTGGCCACTTTGCGGCAAGTCCTCAGGATTGGAAGCCCTCATTGGGCAACACAGTGTAGTCGCCCCAGCTTTGCAACTGATGAGCTATGTGTGACCTTGGGCTAGTCACTTTCTCCTCTCTGGGTCTTGGCTCTCCAGAGGCAAAATTACACCTACCTCATTCAGTTGTGAATTAAATGAGGTAAAGCGTGAAAAGTGCTGAGCTAGCTCAGTGCCCAAGACATAGTAAGGGCCCAACACATAATGCTCCGTGCCAAGGGTTCCACTCTGACTCACAGCCACCTCTTAGGGTGTCAAAGGCTGTAAATCTTTGCAAGAGCAGATAGCTTCGTCTTTCTCCCTCAGAGCCACTTGGTGGCTTTGAACAGCCAGCCTTCACTGAGCAGCCCAAGGGCTAACCCCCAAGGCCACCAGGGCTCTTCAGTAGATTTGACCCACAAAACAAGCCCAGTGCCACCAGATGGGCTCCAGCCTACGGCCCCTGGGTGGGTTTCTGACCCGGTAAGTCTTGACAGGGGCAGGCGGCAGCATCTTTCTCCTGTGCAGTGAGCGGCTCGTGGGTCTGAACTGCTGACCCTGACTCACTATGCCACCAGGGCTCCCAACAGCCACTATTCATTTGTAATCATAGTTACGATATGAAAACCACTGAGGCATTTTAGGACTAGAATGTACTTTTCCATGGAAAGAGGTCGAGTTTTTCACCCATCGGCAGCCCTGTCTTCAGTGAGGCACCTGGAAAATCCCAGGCTCTCAACTGATTCACTTGGATGACCAAGCCATCTCCTGAGTCATCAGCCCTTTCTTAGAAAACGGTTCTACAGCAGCGCTGTGTGAGCAAGGATTCTCTCTCTGCCTCCCGGCTGCAGCCGGTCCTCCTGACCGGGATCAGCCAGCTTCCAGAGGTGTTCTCAGGCCTCCGGAGCTTGCTGATGGCGCTCTGTCTCCGCAGTGGGAGTGGCAATGGGCTGCGGCTGGACTACTTGCCGAGGAGCTACCGCCCGGGGACCATGATGGGCTTCTCTGCCTTCATCTCTGGACGGACACTACTCGGCACTGGGAAACTGGCTAGAGAGGAATGACCCAGCTCAGAGCTGACCTGAGAATCAGGTCCCTTTCTAAGTCCCTTTCTAGAGCCACGTGCACGTAATACTTACAGTTTGTTCTTGGTTTTGTGGTGAACTAGTGGCACCATTCAATATCCACTGTAAGTTCTGGTCTCCCATCACTAGGCTGGACTGCAAAATGGCCGTGCTGGGAGTCGGGGTGATGGTTATTGTGGGATTGCTAGTTAGGACAGGGTTGGCACCCAGGGGCAGAGTCTGGACCACAGTTGGCAGGGGCTCAGTAGTACTTTGTGGTGGGGGAGGTGCTGTCACGGCTGTGGCTGCCATGGCCGCAGCCGTGGAAGCCCCAGTAATGACGGAAAGTCTTGGCATGATGGGCTGCGGTGCCTGGGCGTGTGGGAGAAACTCTTGATGATTCGCAACAAACTGTGTGCGGTGGGGAACAGGCACTTCTGAAGGTTGCAGGAGAGCAGGGGGGTTGCCGAATGCAGCTTGCTGGGCACCAGTTCTTAGGGCGGGGGCAGGGGGGGCAGCAGAGAGTGCTGAGGCTGGGAGCAGAGGTGGGGCTGGCTCGGAGGTGCCAGGCTGCAGTGCAAGGGGAAGAGACAACGATGCTGAATTCCCTGTGGGTGGCAGGACATCACCGACCGACTCTGCTTCACCTTTAAAACTTTCCATCAAGGCAGCTGGCGAGAAAAAGAAATAAAAGTGCGTATACATATCACAGCCCGACAGGCGCCACCCAAACAGGCCTTATAGGGAAGTCCGATAGGGCCAATTCCTTGTTTTCTACCAGGCAGGCGCTCTGCTCTCCAATCGATGGGCTTGGGTCAGAGCCCCAGGCTTCATCGTCTACCTAACTTCTTGAACGTGAAAACCTAGCGGAGGTCTAGCCGTGACGAAAAGACGTTTTCAGGTTTTTCTGGAAAAGAGACTAGGCACCCTTTGGAGACACAGCCATTGAGCAGGCTTGCTGGCTGTTGTGAAGCAGCTTTCTGAGTGAACTCTCCAACACATGACACATCTGAAGCCAGGGCCCCCACCAGGAGGAGGAAGACCCACAGCTCCTCCGCTTTTTGCAGCGACAAGAGCATGGAGACGCAGCGGCTTCTTGGAACGCACACCTGCCTCAGCGAGCCGTGAGGGAAGTCAGGGAAAGACGGGATCGAATGGAAGGCCCACGCTTTGCTTCGCCCTGTGCCTGCCACTCCGGGTGTCAACACGTACGTGTGAGCTCCCCGCCCCGCCCCGATCGGAGACGGGAGCCGCCAGACAGGCGGTGGAGCAAACCTGTCTGCTGAGGATCTTCCGGAATCGCCGTGTCATCGGCATTCTGGAACATGGACTCGAAGATGATTGCTGGTGAAATTGTGCTGAGGTCCTGGCCCTGTGTCTGACAGAAGAGACCAGGTGTGAGGCCAGCCCTCCGGAAGCAGACCCCCACGTGAGAACCTACAAGGGTCTCTCGGAGGCCGCCTGCTTCTAACGCAGCCTATTTTTTGTTGGGTTTTTTAAATAGTTTCATTGTGTTTTTAGTAAGTCTATACAACAGAGTAGGTTTCCATTTGACTGATTTTATATATATTGCTCATGGACGTTACAATTTTACGGCATAATGTCAACATTCCCTTAAACGCTCTTCTCCTTCTCTTAATTGTTGAATCACATATGAACATATGTACAATCAATGCCACAATTTCAGAACATTTTTTTCTCATGCTCGTTCCTAGCTCCCTCCCCCCTAGGCAATTATCAATCCAGTTACTATCTCAATGGATGTACCTATCCTGGACTTCATCTGCAGAAAACCATACAGAACACCAACAGGAAACAAGCAGGCAAAACAACATCATGACTAAACAAAATATAGAACAACCTCACAAAGCAAGCAGAAAATATTAAAAAACTGGAAAAACTTTTAAATGGGTCAAAAGAAAGATCAAATGATAAGGCATTATATTTTAACCTAACTATGTCTTGCCAAAATTGACTTCCAAAGCTCTCCGTCTGCTAACAAAGCTATTCACACCCTGGGACTAGGGTTGGAGGGGATTCACCACAGGCTGAATCCAAGTGGGGACCCTGCAAATGGATTTGGGGCTTCCATTGTCATCCATAGCCTACTGCAAACCGGGTTTCACAATCTAAGCTCCGATACCATTCCCTCCTTTGGATTTGGATTTTATTATTTACAATCCTTGGATTGCACAGGCTGGCGTGCTCCTTCCATGTGCACTTAGTTGACGTCTCAGCAGGCTGCTTGTCTGAAGGCAAGCCTGTAAGAGCCAAGATGCTATGGTTTCTGATAGCCTGACACCATCTGCTGTCTTCTCCACACTTTGCTATAACATCCATATCTTCAGTGATCTCTTTATGGGGGTGAGCATAGAGCAGGGCCATGTCACAGAACTAATTGTTCTAATAGTGGGGCTAGAATTAAGTGCGAGCCCAAAATTCACTCTTATCTACCATTTATATAAAATCTGTCTCTGGTTAACTTGAGAGACATCATTATCATTTTATGATCGAGAACATTATCAATCATCCCCGAGGCATACGGTAATTCTATTGATAGTGTCATTAATTTAATAAATGGTATAGAATTTAAAACACTCAAGAAAAGAAAGTCCCCGCTCATTCACTATGGTAAGATTTTTTGTTCTGATGATGCCCGATACCTGATCCCTTCGACACCTCATGATCGCACAGGCTGGTGTGCTTCTTCCATGTGGGCTTTGTTGCTTCTGAGCTAGATGGCCGCTTGTTTACCTTCAAATCTTACCATAGCGAATGGGGGGGGAGTGCAGAGTGGAGACCCAAAGCCCATGAGTAGGCCACTGGAGATACCCTTGCAGAGGGGTCTCGGGGAGGAGACGAGCCAGTCAGGGTGCGATGTAGCAACGATGAAAAATACAGCTTTTCTCTAGTTCCTAAATGCTTCCTCCCCTCCCCACTATCATGATCCGAATTCTACTTTGCAAGTCTGGTTAGACCACAGGATGTACACTGGTACAGATAGGAACTGGAAACACAGGGAATCCAGGGTGGATGATTCCTACAGGACCAGTGGTGTGAGTGGCGATACTGGGAGGGTGGGTTGAAAAGGGGGAACTGATTCCAAGGATCTATATGTGACCTCCTCCCTGGGGGACGGACAACAAAGACATGGGTGAAGGGAGACATTGGTCAGGGCAAGATATGACAAAATAATAACTTATAAATTACCAAGGGTTCCTGAGGGAGGGGGGAGCGGGGAGGGAAGGGGGAAAAATGAGGACCTGATGCCAGGGGCTTAGGTGGAGAGCAAATGTTTTGAGAATGATGAGGGTAATGAATGTACAAATGTGCTTTACATAATTGATGTATTATGGATCGTGATAAGAGTTGTATGAGCCCCTAATAAAACGATTAAAAAGGAAAGAAAAGGAAATAATACACATATAGGCAAACTCCAAACTGCAATACATGAATTGTTTGCTTACACAGATTAAACTCTTAGGTGACTGGACACCATTTACAAATTACACCCATCACCTGTGATAGGGCAAAATTTTCAAAAACACTCATTCACTAAGGCAGACCCATGTCTACCAGTAACATCCTATTTCAAGGTGACATTAGTTCCCTCAATCCAGGCACTCAAAGATCCTGGGGCCACAGATGATGACTTGCAGGCTAGCTGTACGTGACAGGCAAGACGTCCTGGATCGGAGGCAGGTGCACTCGCTTACACAGGGTCCAGGGCTGCATCCGCACAGCCAGGGCAGAGGATGAGGAGGGGTCACACAGACCGTATGGAGTATTTGGTTGTTATGAAAATAGCATTGCACAATATTCAACAACTTGCTTTTCTCATATAATAATATATTGTGACTATCTTGCAAAGTCATTCCATAACATCTACATTCTAACATGGACACCTGGTAAGGAACAATAACATTTTTAATGACAAATAGTAATAGATTTGCATTTAATAAAAGGCCAGAGTCATTATTGTTTTCAAAAGGTCAAATGTGGGAAAATAAAAACCAAAACAATGCCCCGAGGACCTGCTGGGTCCCTCAAGGACAGTACAGGGAAAAGACCACCTCGATTCCTCCGTTCAGTGACCGCTGAGGAGGCTGGGGAATAAAATTCTTTTATCCCGGCCACCTCCACCAACACTGTGCAGGGCAAGCCTGACAAAGGCAACCACCTACTGAAAGTCAGGCAGGTAATGTAAGTAATGGAAGCTGCTGGGGAGGGGGGGTTAATGAGAGCCTGCACACCGCCCCACTCCCCCGATATTCTAAAGGGTTTCTGCTACATGCTGAATATTTAGGCCTGGTAGTGTCAAAGCTCAAAAAAAAGTTCATAAATATGAAAATTTTGGAAACATGCTTATAGAAGCAAATCATAAAAAAATATTGCAAAGCACTGTGTAGACCAAACACCACTTGTCTTAAGGCCAAAACTGGCTCAGTGCCGACTTGTCGTTTAAAGGCATTTTACAGCAGGCTCTGCTTCTGGTGGCATGCCCAGGAGGGTGCTAGGGCTGAGCTGAGACTGTCTGTGAGATAGCAGAGGTCCTCCAAGATATAACTGCCCATTGAAGCCAAGAGATCCACCACGATCCCATCATTTGGACAAGGGAGGGCCAGGCAGTGAGTCTGACTCCCAGAGGTCAAAGGAGCTGCAGGTAGAAACCTCTGCAGGATGCCAACCAGCTTTCTGCCCAAAAGGAGCAAAGAATCACAGACTCTCACTCAAAATCTCCCTGCCATCAAGTCAATACTGACTCACAGTGACCCTACAGCGCAAGGTAGAACTGCCCCTGGCCACTGGACAAAACTGGGCTCACTGACTCACAGAGCAAAGAGAGCTGAGCACTTGCAAAAGCTTCCTCTCTGCGTGGGGTGCCTCGGTGGCACTTATCAGCGGAGTGAAAGGGCTGGCTGGAGCAGGACAAGGCCAGGTCGGGTCAAGAGGCCAAGGGACCCCCAGCTTGGGGCCCAGGAGAAGCCTGCCTGTAGGCACAGCTAAAAGGGTGTCCTGAATATTTCCCTCATCAAACCGGAACTGTGAGTTCTGTGTGACCATTGCCATGAATTCTCAAACCCAGCAGAAAGCTGTGGGAGGGACGGCCGGCGTGAGAAGTGTAAGGAGGTTGGAGAAAGGAGGTCTGTCTGGCCTCTGCCTCATCAGGCTCAGCCTACGGAGTTGACCTTCACTCTCTTTCTTCCCTTGTGAAGTTAGAGGGCGTCAGAAGCTGGGGCTGGGCCATGCCATTTCGACAAAATGTACAGAAACCAAAGTTAATTAGTGGTTATCAGGGGAGAGGGGCAAAGAGAATGGTAGGTGAGGGTAAGGGGGCAGTGATGGGGAATTTTCATGGATTAAAGCCAATTGTTGCCCAGAAGTTGTACACCTACAAAAAGTTGAACTGGCAAAAGCTGTGTGATACTTTGACAGCTAAGAGTAGCTGCTGCTGCGCTGCTTAGGCGCACCCCACACCTTCACGGTACTGGGCTCCTGGGCGTGAGGACTGAGGGGCATGGTTTCCCAGGGCACCCCAGCTCATTCATCTAATAACAACTTTAGTGCTTCTGTTCTACCTCCTAGCTCACTGTGGAGTGCCTGGGGTCTTAAAAGCTTCTAAGTGGCCATGCACCAAAGGCACAAAAATCGGTCTCTATTCACTGGGGACATCAGAGGAAGGAGAGTCAGGAATACAAGATATGGGAATATGAGAATATGGGGTTAAGCTAACCGCCTCCGTGAACAACTGCCTCCTTAGCCAGGAGACTGGGGTAATTAGATAGTACCTGGCTGCCATTCCTGGACATTTTGATAAAAAATTCTATAGAGGAGTTGGGATCCAAAGGGGAAATGCAGGGCAGAATTTCAAATCACTATGGAACCCACACTTTCTGGAGACTTGAGGTACTGTATGAACCCCGAACACTATCGCCCTGAGATAACCTTTAAACCATCAACCAAAAATATCTCCTGAAGTCTTCTTAAAAACCCGAACATCCCCCAACTACCATGATCCCAATTCTACCTTGCAAACCTGGTTAGACCAGAGGATGCACAGCGGTACAGATGGGAATTGTAAACACAGAATCTACGACAGATGAACCCCCTCAGGACCAGTGGTGAGAGTGGCACTGGAAGGGAAGGGGGGGTAGAAAGGGGGAATCGATCACAAGGAGCTACATATAACCTCCTTTCTGGGGGATGGGCAACAGAAGGATGGGTGGAGGGAGACGCCAGGCAGTGTAAGATAAGATAAAATAATAATTTATAAATTATTAAGGGTTCATGAGGGAGGGGGGAATGGGGAGGGAGGGGGAGGGGAAAAAGGAAAATGAGGAGCTGAATCCAGGAGCCCAAGCGGAAAGCGAATTTTGAGAATGATGAGGGCAACGTATGTGTAAGTGTGCTTTACACAATTAATGTATGTATGGATTGTGATAAGAGTTGTATGCGCCCCAATAAAATGATTAAAAAAAACCAAAACCCAAACAGTAGCTTAGTGTAACCAGTATAAAAAGGCCTGCCCTGAGAAACAACTGTATGGGAGCAGAGTGATTAGACCGGAGCCTCCAGGGACAGGGAGGGTATGTGACTAGAGGAAGAACAGGTCCGAGAGGGAGGCACGACCTGAAGAGTGTCGCCATGTCACGGAACTGCCCACACGGGGCAGTGAAGTTGGTGTCTGGTGTGGCTGTGTATGTTCTCAGCACTCGTAACAGCCTGAGAAAATCCTCAAATGTCCAACAAGAGCAGAAAGGACTATTCCCTTAGAAGGTGGCCACCCAACAAACACAACAAATGATCTGTAACTATACGCGACAATATGGATTCATTTTCTTAAATAGGGTGCTCTTAGAGGGGAAAAAGCTAACACGAATGAGCTCATCTTGTATGAGTGCAATGATAGGAAGCATAAAAACAGCAAAGGAACCTCGTGTTGTTAGAAGTCAGGATAACAGTGAGCTTAGGGAGGCTAGGGCTGGTGGTCAGTGGATGTGATGGACTGGGATGCCTCCCCCCGCTGCACACCTGGGATGACTGAACCGCTCTCTGTGTACATTAGACTTCAATAACACGGTCTTTGAACTTTTCACAAGGAAAGTGCTGTAGTTCTCTGTCTCAGTCACTGCCAAGATTCAGGGCAAAGCCCCTAGGGGCAGAATCAACATGAGCATCTCCCCAAAGTAACGGAGACAAGAGCATGCATGCCCAGTGCAGAGAGAAGGCAGAACCCTGGGAGCTGGCTGGGGCCGGCGGGCAAAAAGCCCAGTGGGTCGTTCCCTAGCAGCTTCAAACCTCCTTCAACAAAAGATCTGAGGGAACCCAAACTCATTTCCAGGATATATTAACCCATCTGGTTGCCAGAAACCCCTAAAACGATGATCTCATAAGAATGTATAACCGGATGTTAACAATTCATAGTTTTTTAAAAAGCAAAGCAACATTAATCTTGCAGTACTGTGGTCTTGGTTGAAAGACTAAAAGATGATTATGCAAGTTTGTTATAAAGGAAGGTGCTAGGAGTACAATATCTAGTTTGAGGGCACAGAATAGAGCCCCTCTCTTTTACTGAGACAAACAGTGGTAGAAACGGCTTCATCCCTTTACCCCAGGTTACTATCCCACTGGGTGACTTCAGAGCGCCAGATGTGTGACTACATCCACAGGGAGCTAGACCTGAAGCTCCTCAATGACAGATCCCACCTACTTTCTCAACACTACCAGCTCACAGCAGCACAGGCCCTGCAGCAGTCAATGCTAACTGAATGAAAAGAGAACTTTTCTGGGACCACCAGGTATCAAGGCACTTGACATCAGAACTACCTCTCCTGTGGCGTCACTTATCAGAAAAATAACCCCCAGTGGTCAGTAGTCGAACATAACAGAGCCTAGAGGACTTGAGACATTGGCCTCCTTGTTCTTCTCACCAAAACCCAACAAACAACAAGAAGGAAAACACCAAGCTCATTGCCACCGGGTCCATTCCAAATCACAGCAACCCTACGGAATGGGAGAACTGCCCGGGGGGTTCCGAGACTGCAACTCTTTGTGCGAGTAGCAAACCTCCTCTTTCTCCTGCAGAGTGGCTAGTGGTTTCGCATTGCTGGCCTCGTGGTTAGTGGCCCAATGGGTCATCCACTACACCACCAGGCTTCCTTTTGTCCAGCAAAAGGAATCACTCAAGTCTTGCATCTTGCTTTTTAGCACAAATATCACAGTGTACTTACTGTATTGGAGTTTTCTCGTAATTCAGAATCTGTGGACAGAAGACTCAAGTCACTCAAACAAATTGAGTGATTTGTATCCTGTGAATGAGAAAGAATTGTGTAAAAATTCTAATTGTGTAAAAAAAAAATCAGGATTTATAGCAGATCAGTAATAAGACACCTTAGACAAACGTAGGTTCTATAAGTCCACATGTCTTACGTGGCGAGGCATTAACCATCCAAAGCAGATGGGCTGTGTGAGTTATTTCATGTTTAAAAGCCCTGATATTCTTAGAAGAATCTCTTACACTTCTGAAGGAGGGCTTATAAATGAAGCATTCTTAAATTATCTCCTGACTCGGGCACCAAGTAACAAAAGCTGTAATAATATGAAAGTAAGAGTAGTTGCCTAATTGGTCTTATCATTTCAAAATGACTCCATGTGATAGCACTTGCCGTTTATAAACCTGTGAAACAGTACTCTGTACTCCCACTTTAACTATGCAAACACTGAGGCTACTACAGTGGCAGAGAACTATCAAGAACTCGTCACTAGTGGACGACAAGCCCAGTGCTGCTGATGGAGAAGCCTACCTTTCCTGCCGTCGGGCATGCTGCCGAGCCTCCACAGGGAGCTGAGGGCATCTTCCTCTGAGCAATACGGAGGATTTACTACTCAAACACCACTGCTCAGGCTAACGCTGAAAGCTAGCTCCTACAGTGTCCATCACAATTCATACACTTCAGGTGGATCCTCCGTATCCCGTGTGGATCAGAGGCTCACACTCACACATGCATTCAGCAAATCCTTATTGTGCATCTACTTTGGATTAGGAACGGCTCCAGGTCCCGGGCTAAATCAGTGACAATAAAACAAAGTCCCTGTCTCCATGGAGCTTACATCCTAGTGTGGAGTGGGCAAAAATCTGAAACAAAACCAAATCATGTGTGAGCTGATGATAAGGGCCACGGCGGAGGAGGCGATGGTACACAGAGCTGCTCGCTCACTCGCTCAGTAGGGAAGACCTCTCAGATATGCCCGGCTGGAAGACATAGGAAGTGGGTGTGCACACATCTCTGAGGAAGAGTTCCCTACAGAGGGAACAGCAAATAGCAAAGGGTGAGGGTCGGCAGACTGCAGCTCGAGGGCCTATGTGGCTCTTTCGGTATGTGCACGTGGCTCTGAAGTAGGTGGAAAAAGTTGGGTATTATTCAAATCATGGTGGTTTAATTTGTTTGTAAAAATATATTTACGGCCAGTCAGGGTGCAATGTAACAACGATGAAAAATACAACTTTCCTCTAGTTCCTAAATGTTTCCTCCCCGCTCCCACTACCATGACTCAAATTCTACCTTGCAAGTCTGGCTATACCAAAGGATGTACACTGGTATAGATAGGAACTGAAAATCCAGGGAATCCAGGGCGGATGAGCCCTACAGGATCAGTGGTGTGAGTGGCGATGCTGGGAGGGTAGAGGGAGAGTGGGTAGGAAAGAGGGAACCGATTACAAGGACTATATGTGACCTCCTCCCTGGGAGGACGGGCAACAGAAAAGTGGGTGAAGGGAGACGTCAGACAGGACAAGATATGACAAAATAACAATTTATAAACTATCAAGGGCTCATGAGGGAGGGGGGAGCAGGGAGGGAGGGGAAAAATGAGGACCTAATGCTGGGGGTTTAAGTGGAGAGAAAATGTTTTGAGAATGATGAGGGCAATGAATGTACAAATGCGTTTTACACAATTGATGTGTGTACAGATTGTGATAAGAGTTGTATGAGCCCCTAATAAAATGATTTAAAATATATATATATTTATGGATCTTGTATAAATTTTAACTTGGTGTGAGGGACATGATTGCCTCTCTCATCTCCAAAGTTTGCTAAGCCTTGATCTAGGGGTCGGAGTGGGCTTTCCTTGCTCCAGGAGCCACAAGGAAGACAGGATGGCTGGAGTGAGGGAACAGAAGAGATCAGAGAGGTGGCTAGACCAGATTGGGCAGGACTTTGCTGGCCGCCTGTAGAGATTTTAATCTAACGGCACAGAAGCTTCTGGAGGGTAATAAGCAGAGGAAAAACATTCTCTGCCTGATGGTGTACAAAGATGGCTCTGGCTGATGCACACAAAGAAGAGTACAGGGAGGGAAGCAAGTCTTGGCTGACTGCTTAGCAGGTTACCCTCATAATTCAGGCAAGAGGTGAGAGTAGTGTGTGCACAGTCACCATCTGAGGGGACCAGACTCTGCTTCTAGTCTTAAGGCTGAGCCAAGAGGCTTCGGGGTGGACTGACATGGAGTGTGAGGACAGAAGAATTAAGAGTGACTTCAAAATGTCTGGGCTTCCACCACTGGAAAACCATCGACTGAGACAGGGAAGGTTCTAGGAGGAACAAGATTTGAGATATAAAGTCTGAGATGGCTAACAGATACTCAAGTGGAAATTCCAAGGGGGTAAGGGAGCCTACTAGTCCGGAGTCCAGGCTGGAGGGAAATGCAGGGGACTCAAAAAGCAAGACCTGAAGCCTTGCGGATACATAAGACTCTCTCTGAGGAGGAGTGGACAGACACCCACTGAAGGTGAGCTCGGAGGGCTGAGCTGTGTGTAAAGGTTGTGGCCCGCTAAGGAGTCTTTGGATTGCTACACAACGGAGAAGCTTGACTATGTTAAATAAATGCAGCATACTAGGCGAAGTCGCCCATCTTGATACAATTCACAGGTGTGGAACTTTGGGCAAGTGATGTAATCCCTCCTGTCCTCAAGCTTCTTCATCAGGAAAATGGAGGTAATGACAGTAACCCCTCATCAGGGTCTTGTGAGATAATCCACATAAAAGCACTCAGCACAGTGCCCAGCACTAAGTAAGCATTCGATAAATTTGTTATTAATGCCATACCTAATATATTAGAAGTGTTGTTGTTCAGTGCCCTTAAGTGCCCGCCGATGAATTCCAACTCAGGCTGCCAAAGGGCCCCTCAGACAGAGCAGAACTGCCCGCTGGGGCTTCCTTGGCTGCGGCTCACTCTCGACAGGAGAAGACTGCCACGTCTTTCCTCCTTGGAGCCTACTGCTTATCTGCTGTGCCACTAGAGCTCCTTATATTAGCAGTAACACCAAGATCTCTCCAGAAAGGAGCTGCAGGGGAGAAGTACGTATGGAGGAGGGCTGGTAAAGAGGACCAGGCAAAACTGTCAAAACCCGCCGAAGCTCATGCTGTGATTTCCCTAATCAAAACAAAGTTCAGCCAAGGGCTCTCAAATCCTTTGATCTCTGCAGCCTACTCAGAAGGGTGAGTGACTCTCCCAGTGACCAATGTGTGGAGCAGATCATTAATTCATGTCTCAAACTCAATGCCAATATGCCATCTTGTAGACAGGAAGAGAAAAACAATATCCGCTAAAGAGCATAGGGGCAACCTTTGGCAAGCCCTTCTGCACCTCTGCTTTACGGTCTACCTCCTTCCAACTCCCTCACTGCCATCAAGTCAATGCGGACTCACAGTGACCCCACAGGGCAGGGCAGAACTGCTTCGGTGGGTTTCCAAGGCTGTAATTCTATGGGAGTAGTATAAAGCCCCATCTATCCCTCATGGAGCGGCTGGTGGTTTTGAACTGCATACCTTGCAGATTGGAGCCCAGCACAAAATCACGACGCCAGCAGGGCTCATAAGGTCCTTCCAGCCTATCTGATGGCAAAATGAGAGCTGAACCAGAGGCTGCAGCACCGGCAGCCTGGTGACCGTTCTGGCTTCCCCCACTGGTCACAAAGACATCGGTCTTTGCCCTCTGGCTTACAGATACATCGAGATTGTTTTAATTTTTCAGCTTAATGAACTGCTACTGTTACCCAACCAGAGACGAGACACTGCGTACCTCGGACCCATTGTGACTTGGAAGTGCGGTGTATGAGTGTCCTTTGTTGTCATGACCTTTCAGGTGGCTTTTGAGACTGTACTGAGTGCTGAACGTTTTCTCACAGCCATTGCTGGGGCAGAAAAAGGGCCTTTCACCTGCAAGAATGACAGTCAGGTTAATTTTGCCATACCACTGGATTTGGAAGTCGACCTTTACCTAACCATAACAAAGTGAAACAAAACGCACATTCCCACAACCATACAAAAACACCTACTCACCTAAAACACAGCAACCCACTCCCACAGAACAGCCAGCCCACTAGAGTTTCCCAGACTGTGAGTCTACAGGAGCACACGGCCTCGCCACTCTCCCTCGCAGCGGCTCACCTTGCGGTGCGTAGCCCACGAACTACCCCGCCAGCATGCCGTCTTTCTCTAACAGAAGGAAGTAAGTATCTTTATGAGGGCCCAAGTAGCAATGGGTAAAAGTTGGACCGATTGCATGTTAATCTTCTCAGTCCCAAACTTCATGCAGAGCAGAGCACAGCACCGGGAATGGCCTACGCCTGGGGAAGTTTAAAGAGAACAGTATTTTCTCCCCGGTGTTTCTTTAGGGGAATATCTGTCTTGATTTCATTCCCTACCACTGAATTCCTGAGTCCAACCTTTAGATCCTTCCACTACTGAAAGACGACACACAGACATTACAAGTGGGGGCTAAGCAGATTAGGCTGGCTCCCCCTCCCCGAACCGTATTCGTGGGTTTAATGAAGCTACATTAAAAAAAGCAAGCTGTGCGTAGACTCACCAGTATGAGTACGGACGTGAGTTTTAAGGTGGTGGCTCGCTGCAAATGCTTTTCCACAGCCATCATGATCACACCTACACAAGTCGTCAAAGCCAAGAGAAGCACAGTCATTAGCTGGGAGGCCTTCAATCATCAACATCTTTGAAAACACTAACACACATGTCCAGGACGCTAAGGCAGAGGGATGTAAACTGGCTTTGAGAGCTGGCCGTGATGGGACAGTAAAAGTCTGAAGAAGCTGATGGTGCTAGACAAGCATTTCTTATTTTCTAGGTAAGGCATTCAACAATATAGGCCTTTAAAAAATTTGGTTTTGGCGAGGCCTTTTAAAGATTACTTCCCAGCACTCTATTAACAGAGTCCATCCACATGGACGCTCTCTCCAAACCAAACCAAACTCACGGCCATCGAGCTGGTGCCGACTCACAGCGACTCTCTAACAGGGACAGGGAAGAGCTGCTTCTGTGAGTTGCCCAGACCGTAACTCTTCACAAGAGTAGAAAGCCCTGGCTGCCTCCATGGAGCCCCAGGTGGTTTTGAACTGCTAAGCTTGCCGTTAGCAGACCAACGTGTAAGCACGACTCCACCAAGGCTCCTCATGGGAGAGTTAGTGTCGTGGAACCTTAGGACTGTCAGTGGTGGGTTTAGGGTACTCACATAGGCATGGGAGCCTGAAATACAATGGTAGAACAAAGAAAGTTAGAACTTACTGACAGACACGACTTAACTATGGTCTTCAGGGTCAAGATGTACTTCTCGCTTTACTTGCCTGATAAACACAGAAGAAATCTTTCCTGCCTCAGAACTCTTTCATGGCACCTCTCACTTCTAATCTCATTTTATCTGTGAGTACATCTTGTCATCTGCTCTCCCAGACGGACAATTCTTTGAGGGCAGGGACCATGTGGTTCTTCACTTTGGCTGTAGTTCTCGCACACAGTGGGCATTCGAGCTCGCACTTACACTGAATTAATGCATGCTCTTATAAAGCAAAAGCTTCTTTAAAGCACGGGAATTTTAATGATGCATGATCACTGTGTCTAAAGTTCTAATATTCTAGCAGAACCGCCACTAGCAGTTTTAATCATCACAAAAGCAAACGGACTTGACCAAAGAGAAATCAGAGTCTGCTGAGTGGTCCACGAGGGGTGGGTCACCTGCGCTCCCTCCACAGCACCTGGGGCGTTCCCAGCTAGTCTACCACTCTCGCCAATAAAGGGACCGTGACGCAGGAGCGCATAGGTCACCCCAGCGCGTACTTCCACTTTGCTGGCATTTCCGAGATGCCTACCCCGGGTAACTTTAGGGTCTTCCCAAGCCTCCTGGTGCCGAGACGAGAGGCTTGAAAAGGGGCGGTGGCACAGTTGGCTCCACAGGAGAACAGCAGTGTCTCCTGCCAGCACCCCAACCCACGGCTCCGGGCACTGCTAGTCAAACACCTGCATTACATTTAGGAGGGCCCTGACAAATTCATTATCTCATAAGAAGTTATAAAAACTAGAGATTATTATCATTATCTCATCGTAAATGTCATATAATCACTCCAGCCTTCTTACTGAAATCTACTAAATGGCCAGGCCCATGCTTGGTGCTATAAACTGAGAAGAAAGTAGATGACACAAGTTCTTCCTTCAAGCTCGATACATTTATATGCTTATCTAATTATGTGTTTATACACAAGTTATACATTTTTTACTTTAAAAAGAAATGAAATACAGTGAACCCTCGCCACTTCGCGCTTCGACTTCCGCGGCTTCACTCTATCGCGGTTTTTGCGTAACAGCACCCACTGCCTACACCCGCTCCTTCAGAGGAAAAAGACAGCGACCCACCTGTAGAGTACATCCCTTAAGTCATTTCATAGGCTACTGATTACAGTATTTGTAAGAACTATGTATAATAACACTGTATGTGAAATATGTAATACTGTAAACTAGATGCCATAAATAATATAATAAATAATAAATGATAATTGTAACATCCAAAATGTTTTACTGTATTTTCCCTTTTTCGTTTAATAAATTGGGTAATACGAGTGTAATGGTGACTAAAGGGTGTTTTTTCATGTCCTCTATGCTCTAACTACAAAAATATTTGATTTACAAATAAGGAATCCTACTTCGCGGAATTTCATTTATCACGGTAAGGTCTAGAACCGATTAACCGTGATAAATGAGGGTTCACTGTATACATGTACATATATGCACACACATACTTTCAAAAAGAAAATGTATGGTACTAACTATGCAGGCATAGACACATGTGATATTATAAAACAAGTGAGCAAGTAACAAAATAAACTACCCGTGGTACTTAGCCTAAGCATTCCTACCCCTCCTTTGCCCTCTCATCTCCTCCTCCCCTGCCCACCTGGAGTCGGCTCAGTTTCCTTTCCGCGGGGCTCCAAGCACGGTGAGCATTTCTGTCTCAGACGCTGTCTGGCTACTTGCCATTTTGTCATTCTTTTCAGCTAGGCTAGAAGGTTCTTAGGTACAGAGCCTTAGTATTTCACTAGCACCAATGAAAGTTCTGACCACATAAGTAAGTTTCAACAAAATTCTTGAACATAAAGGAAAACGAGGAGGTACTATAACACACCCATTAAACTAAAAGAACGCACTGTCATTGAGTGGATTCTGACTCACAGCAACGCTACAGGACAGAGTAGAACTGCCCCCCGTGGGTTTCGGAAACCCTACCTCTTTATGGGAGTAGAAGGCCTTGTCTTCTCCCTTGGACAGGGGGAGGGTTTCAAGCTGCTGGCCTGTGGAGAGCAGGCCGCCTCCTAAGCACTACGCCACCAGAGGTTCTCGACACGCCTCTTAAAGTGGCTACAATCCCCAAAGCTGATAACACCCAAGGCTATGAGGGCGTGGAGCAATGGAACTCTGATCTGCTGCTGGTGGGAGTGCCAAACAGAAGGCACCTTGGAGGACAGGCAGGTCCTTCCCAAGCTCAACAGAGCCTTACGATATAACCTAAGGCTCGCACTTCTCAGTATTTACAGAGGAGCTGAAAACTTGTGGTCTCCAAAAAAAACCCCACACAGATGTTTACAGCAGCTTTATTAAAAATTGCCCCCACTTGGAAGCAACCACGAAACCCTTCAAAAGGGAAACAACTTGTGGCACATCCATACAGTGGAAACATGATTCAGTAATAAAAAAATCAACTGCCAAGCCTAAAAAGACATCCAAACCCATGGCCATGGAGTCTGCTCTACGCAGAACGACCCCATGTAGGGTTGGGTTCGAACCGCTGACTTTGTGGTTGGCAGCTCACTGGGTAGCCCACTATGCCACTAGGGTTTCTTCCAAAGAGAGAGAGAACCTTAAATGCGTATTGCTAAATGAAAGAAGCCAACCTGAAAGCATTACCCCAACTATATAATATTGTAGAAAAGGCAAAACTAGGGGGACAATGAGACCAGCAGCTGCCAGAAGTTCAAGAGGAAGGGCGGAGGCATACATGGTATTCTGGATGCTGCTTATATGGCATTATGCACTTGTCAAAACCCATAGAACTTATACAGATGCAAAATATTAATGACAGGAAAGCCTGGGGTGGGGGTGAGGGTGTACCAGAGGAGGCATATGGAAGCTCTCTGTACTTTTAGCTCAATTGTTGGTAAGCTGCACTGCTTTAAAACTTAAAGCCTACTAAATAATAATAGGAATCATAACAATCAACTTTTAATGAAAGATGGGGGTGGGGGGAGGCAGAAAGACTATCCTCCACAGATTAAGGGGTTTCTTGTAATCCACTGCCACTCCTCCCATCTCATGTATAATAGGCTAGAGTTGTCTTGGGGAGTTTTTTATTCAAGAGAGTTTACTTTTGATTGGAAAATAAAAAGGAAGTCCATTATGGTACTGAGATGTAGTCAATACCTTAATATGGCTCCTTTAGCCATAATTCCTTTTGTGATGTGCTGTAAATTCTAAGCTCCAGGCCTGGGGTTTAACAATGGAGCCTTAGTTTGTAATCTTACTGGAGGGTGTGACTTAGTAGAGGGTGTGTCCCCCAGGGTGTCCCCCCACCCCCTTCCCCTTGTGTGTGTGGTGTGTGGTCCACTGAAAGTCCAGAGCCGCAGCTCTAACAAAGCCTGCCCTTCTGTGGCCTCCATTTTCCTGACTTTCCACCTTCTCTCACTGCCATCGACTCAGTGCCAACTCAAGGGACCCTGCAGGACAGGGCACAGCTGCCCTGGGAACTTCCGAGACGGTAACTCTTTACGGGAGTAGGAAGCCCCGTCTTTCTATTTACTGGTCGGCGCAAGAGCGGCTTTCACTTTGAACAAACTTGGCTTCCGCGCTGAACCCTGCATTGGGCTTTTCTCTGCCTGACGTTGAGATCTGGTACTCAAACGGCATCCACAGCCACATGAGACATTTCCTTACAGTTTGGAACGTTTCTGTGAGACACTGCAGTGAGCTACAGAACCCAGGAAGGTTAAGGGATTCTTCCTTCAGTAGTTCAATCATATTAAGAGACGTTGTACACTCAGCACCACAACCAAACTGTAGAGCATTTTCTTCTTTCTTGTACTCACAGTTCTTAGCTCC